GGCTGGTTCTTGCCGTCCTCACCCCCGCCATTGTCATTCACGTATATGTATGTATATGTATATATATACAAGGAAGAATGCACTAGCCTCCTTTTTATGTGGAGCGAACAACGCCTTTCTGGCCAGGGTCGTGTGCGCGCACCTTATCTCATGAGAAAACAAGGGGAGGGGCTTATGGTTGCCGCGCTATCGCAGCGACGATCAAAGTGTGCCTTGTGTTCCCTCAGCAGGCGGGAGCTTCTATGGACTGTGCTCTTAACACGAAAAAAAAAAAAAATGCCGATGTGTACCTAGAGCGGCCGTGTTCTCTTAAGGCACGTTTACACTAAAGAGACACGACACTAATTTTGGTCTGCCTACTGTCTTTAGGAGTGTCTTGTCTTATCGTCATATTTACACTACAACGACACAAAAAATCCACCGATGGCCTCTAGATGACTCAGTCCATGCCTTGTCGTGCTCACAGCCTTTCGTTGGCCAATTCTGTAGTTACTCTGGAGGCACACGCAGTCAACACCGACTAAAATTGCACACCTGCACCTCATTTCAGCCATGCCTTCTGCTCTACCATTGTCGCTCTCTGGCTATGCAAAAGGGAAGAGAAGAAAAGCCTTCCGTTGGGTGCTCATGGAAGCCTCTGAGGGAGCATTGTTATCTCCCCCCAAATTTCTCCCTTTGTGGTCCTTTGAAGCAAAGACATGGGCTAATTGTCGCTAGGACGCAGATCTCCCGACACCACGCTGGCAAAAGGTCTCTTGATGCGTTTTGCTGGTGTTTTCGGTCTGTCATTATGTTACACTACGACGACATGCTGTCTTTTTAGGCGTCATCGTCGGTCTAGTGTGACCATGGGGTTCAGCGACTTTGTCGGCGGGCGACTCGTCGGCCAATAGTTTGCGTCTGCCTCATGTTTTCGTCGGGGTCCTGTCAGTGTCGTGTTGCTCTAGTGTAAATGCGCCTTTACACCAGTGTTTTGTAGAGTTACGTGAGGTCGGATGCTAGAGTTGTTTTGTAAAGCATTCAAATAGTTGCTATCGCATTCATTGCTTCACCCTTTCGGCAAAACTGTGACTTTTTTATATAGGCAAAACCTTGCTTCAAGTCACTTATACAGTGACACTATGAATGTATTTATGCATTATATTTATTTATTTATTTTTCATTTATTTATTTGTACCCTCAAGGCCTACAGGCATTTCAGAGGGGAGTGGGTTACAAGGTTATACAAAAAACTAAAAAGCAGCAACAAAAGTAGTAAGCAGATAAGTACAAACATACATGGGCCCTAATCATACAATGTTAGCTAGTGCTGCACGAAACTGATGGTTGTCTTCGATTGCGGCGGTCAGTCCGGGAAGGCGGTTCCAATCTTGTGACGTCCGAGGAATAAATGACTGAAAGAAGGCATTGGTGTTGCATGGTATTGTTCCTACTTTGTGTCGGTGATCCATACGAGAAGAAATATATGAAGGAGGAGTAATTAACTCACTGAATAGGGGCGAATTATGGTAGCAAATTTTGTGAAAGAGACAGAGGCGAGAGTGTTTGAGGAGCGAAGTTAGAGTGGGTAATTGAAGCAAGTTTTTCATGGACGTGACACTTGCCGCACGGGTGAAATTACCGAGAATGAAACGTGCTGCGTTGTTCTGCACGAGCTCAAGTGATGTCACCAGATAGTCGTGGCTCGGGTCCCAAATGGATGATGCATATTCGAGTTTAGAACGAACCAATGATTTATACAAAAGTGTTTTTAAAGAGGTAGGTGCAGAAAAGAAGTTGCGGCGAAGGTAGCCAAGCAGGCGATTAGCATTATTAATAACGGTATTAATATGAAGTGACCAGGTAAGATCAGTTGTTATGTGAATTCCCAGGTATCGGTACGACGTCACAGGTTCAAGAAGAGTGTTGTTAAGGTAATAGGAACCCGTCGAAAGGGCTGTTCTTGAAATGCGTAAGACTTTGCATTTAGTTGTATTAAGTTCCATTAACCATTGCTCACACCAGTTAGAAATTGCATTAATGTCCGATTGCAGTGCCGTAACGTCGTTATCGTTGTTAATTTCTCGAAAATAACACAGTCATCTGCAAACAAGTGAATATTAGAGAGAACACAGCTAGGTAGGTCATTAACGTATATCAAAAACAAAAGTGGTCCCAAGACAGAGCCCTGGGGAACGCCGGAATGAACAGAACTGGGTGAAGAGTCATAGTTATTGGCTGTGACGAACTGGAAACGATTAGAAAGGAAATACTCAATCCATGCAAACAACTTAGGATCTAGATTTAACTTGCTTAGTTTGTAAAGAGTAGTTTGTGAGACACTTTGTCAAAAGCCTTGGAGAAGTCGAGGAAGATACAATCAGCGGATGAACGGCGATCTAAAATTAAGTGCAGCTTGTGGGTTAATGAAAGCAATTGGGTCTCGCACGAGAACTTCTTTCGAAAACCATGTTGCGTGGGTGAGAAGAAAGAGTTAAATTCAAGAATTTGACCAGATGGGAAAAAATTACATGTTCGAGAATTTTGCATGGAATGCTTGTTAGTGATATGGGTCGGAAATTGTTAGGCGTGTGTTTGTTACCGGACTTATGGAGTGGCACCACCTTCCCGACTTCCCAATCCGCCGGCAGGATGCTCGTGTCGAGGGTCTGCTGGAATATTTTGCACAAAATAATAGTGGAATACACAACAGTACTTTTTAAGAACTTCGTATTAATAAGGTCAACACCGGGGCTCGATGAGGGTTTCAGTGACTGGATTATTTTACTTACACCACCTGGTCAGTAACAATGGGGTCCATGGAGAGATAATTACAGTTCTGAAGTTCAGGTATTGAGGGGTTAGAAGAAACAACAAAGTTCTGGCAAAAAACTGCATTGAGTAGGGAAGAACATTCGCTACTGGGTATAATGGAACCATCTGGCCCAGTCAATGTAATACTATTCGTTTTAGAAGGAGTGATCACACGCCAAAATTTTTTAGGGTCGTTAATAAGCATAGAAGGAAGGGTGCGCTGAAGAAAGTGTGATTTGGCAAGTTTTACTGCTGCAATGTATGCTTTGTTGGCGGTTGTGTATGCGTTCCATCGGTAATCACTCGGGGATTTTTTAGCCAGACGATAGCAGCGCTTTTTTCGATTAGACAGCCTGTTTAACTGCTTGTTGTACCAAGGTGCCTCCGGGTTAGAATTTATTGTGCGCAGTGGGATGTATTTATCAGTTAGTTCGTGAACTTTATTTTTAAATAGGTTCCAGTTTTCTTGAACGGTACGCGTATCAAAATGCAACAAGAAAATGTCCAGAAAGCAAGCTAGTTTGTTGTTAATAGTTTCAAAGTCTGCTCTTGAGTAGTCGCGAATTTGCTTAGTTGAGGTCGTAGCCTTGCTTAGTAGAACATTTATATTAAATGAAAGGAGCGAGTGGTTGCTCAGACCGGGTAAGTATGAAATCGGGGAAGCAAAATTAGCGTGCGTAGTTAATATCAAATCTAGTATGTTCGCGGTCTCTTGCGTGGTTCTAGTCGGTTCAGAAACGAGCTGGGAAAAAGAAAATAATGAACAAAGATTGAGAAATTCTGTTGTTTGAGATGAAGGTGGTTTGGATGCGGGGGTTTCCGAGGACCAAGAAATATGTGGGAGGTTAAAATCACCCATAAGGAATATAGGAGCAGTGGGGTGTCGTGTAGAAACAATATTCAGCGCATCGTGTAGTTCAGACACAAACGTTGGGGGATATGAAGGTGGACGGTAACAAACGGCCATAACAAATTTCCGGTGCCCAATGTCAACGCAAGACCATACAGATTCTAAATCAGTGTGAACGTGAATTAAGTGAGATGGATAAGACTTTTTGACAGCAAGTAATACGCCACAGCCTTGACGCAAGGTGCGATCGCAGCGATAAATGTTAAAACAGGACACGTCGAAGATTTCACTATCATGAATGTGTATGTGCAACCATGTTTCAGTGAGTGCTACGATGTCTGCGCTAACGGTGTTAATGACAGAGTTAAGGGATTCCCGTTTGCTTGTTACACTGCGAGTATTTGCTAGAATTACGGAGACACATGGCATTGGTGCTCTAGCTCCCCTCGCGTGTTCCTAGCTGGTAGGCCTGCCGGACAACGCAGACGCACTCGCCAAAAGCGGTGCGGCGGACGTGGCATTGGGAAGTGGCGCAGTAGGTGGCGCCCGTTTTATTTGTTTTACGCTGTCAGACACGGTATCGTACATGAAGCACCGGTCATCTATTATTAGTTTGTTATAGCGCAATTGGAATTGGGGAGAGTGGGGTTGGCCTTTGCCGAATTGCAGTTAAGCACAGAAACCATATGTGCAGTTAAGCACAGAAACCATACTTATAGCCGTACTATATTAGAACCTTGCTCATATCTACCTCACTTATGCCCCTTACCATACATAACTTTTGTGATGTGGTATCCAGTCCCAGCAAGGAATCTACAGACACCTATGCATTAGAATAACCCTTTCACATGCTTTTCCTTCAACGTTCCTGCCTACTACGTCATGAACTGTCACTGGGCTGAATGTGGTGCGGAGATATTCCAATGAGTTTGGCAATGTGGTCTGCCACAAGGTCATCAAAGTGCTTGAAAAGGCTCTTGGTCTCGCAGAGGCATGAAAGAAATATCAGACTTTTATGAATGATGTCTTTTAGCCATAGACGAATGAACGGGTAAGTTCTTCTATAAGAGAGCTGTGTGCATTGTTTTTTTTTTTACTACATAGTAGCAGCTCTTTTTTCTGATGTTAACTACATGGTAGCGTAATACGTTTTCTGGCTACTCTTTTTGTATGTGATCCCATGAAAAACGTACTAGAGGAGCTGCACTGCTCAGCATGCTCCAGGCAGAAAAATAAGACTGGCACTAAGTCAGAGACAGCTTTTTGGTTTCCTACATTTGTTAGAGCTAGATTCGAACTAAACTGTTTTGTCCATTCGTGCACACTGGTTTTCGTATTGCACACGGTGCCAACTTACCTCTCCTGTCAGCCAACTGGAGTAATCGCTGACTAAGTAGGCTGCCAAATTGACAACCTCGGGTATTTCTCCTTGCCTCTCTATGGCACCCTTCACAGCTTCTTCGGTAAAGCGGCCATCGGGGTCTAGCCTGCTGGACGCACCCTTGACAAAAATGTGAAAATATGTGGTTATGTGCAGGTGGACAACAAAGCTCAAGAACCACAAGGCCAGTGTGTAACACTGGAGCCTATAACTATGTAATATGCAGCATTTACCAAAACATTATTGACTGCATTGGTGCAAGTGTTTGTCATAGTTCTGTAAACACTTCTACTAAAGTCACAAGGCAGTAATGGCAGCCAGCAAGTCTGGGAGCATATACGTGAGCATGAAAACACAGAAAATTTCCCAGCGCACTTTTCACGAATACTATTGATACTCTTTTCTTTCAATTGACAGCACAGACTTACTCGAACACTTCCCAGCACACTTGCAAAAGAACATAAAGAAAGGTGTTTAAACGACGTCGGGTAGCAGTCGAAAAAACTGTAAAGCTAAAGACAACAGGCTTACGGTTAACAGCTCACAATCGGCACTCACACTTCCCATTAAGAGAGTGTCCCTTTAGCAAATGGCTTTCTCCTTCACTACTACAATACCCTAGCAATGAAGAGGAGCTGTCCAGGCAACACAAAGTTACAAAGGAATAGGAGAGTCGAAACATTGCTTGAGGCATAACGTGGATTGTCTCATAACTAGAGACTGCAACTTTATACACGAAAAAATAATGTCTTAGGTGTCTATAATACACCCTAAAAACTGCCATTTAGGCAGTTTAGGCATATATAGGCACAATTAATAATTACTTCAGTAGTGTGCTCAGGACAAATATTCAACTTCTAACAAACACAGCAGGCCAACTCTGTGCTTTAGGAAAGCTAAACTTATATTTTCCATGAAATGTATTAGCAAGAAGCACAATCGTTTAAACAAATTTAGGTGAAAGCTGAGGTAATTTCACAATGGCGGAAAGGCTATGAAAACAGTGACAAACCAGCATCACCACAAGGTTTGCAGCCTTGAATTGTGCTCGCTTTCAGTCAGTATTTGATTTTACAGTAAAACACCGCTGCAACAAACGCCGCTTCAACGAAATTCCCGTTACAACGAAAAATTCACGGTTCCCCGTCAGCAGTCTATAAGAGTCAATGCATAAATATTGTCCACCGTCTTTTCTTCTGCCGTCTCGCTTCAACGAAATTTCACGATGCAATCCCAGGCTCAGATATTTATTGCTATACAGTAAACCCAATGTTTAACATTTTGATGCATTTTCTGAACCTGAAAATACGTCGATGAAGTCTAAGACATGCATTGGCACCACCAAGAACCATCTCTGTTCAAATGGAGGAAAGAAAAACTGAGGAGAGGCCCTATCCTATACAAATGCATTGCGAGAAGTGTGGCAGAAGTGGCATCAAATTTATGGGGCAAACAAAACAGCAGATGCTCCGCGGCGTGCTCTCAGCGCTGGTTCGCTTCTGCGCGGACTTATAGCCCCGGTGTAAACTTAACACATATTGTATGGTTTGCATGCAGTAAAATATTGCGAGCGCACCTTTCCGAGACTGTTCATGCATGGCAGGCCTGAGCGCGGCGTGCAGAAGTACTTTGTGGAGTATTTTTGTGCAGCAGCAGAGAGCACTAGTTCGTGTCGTAGCCAAAATCATTCAGCCCATACATCATCGTATTCGAACTCACCCAGCAGTGACTTACGCGATCTGCTCGCCGTAAGGTCATTTTTTTTCTTTGCCAGATTTTTTTATCTACAGGCCGATTAGCAGTTCTTTGTTCGTATATAGTGCCAGTGTGGCAATGCACGATTTTGATAACTTGCTTCGTACCTATTCTGTGCAATGCCAGCCTAGTGCTTGACGTACTTCACATCGGTGAAAAGGCACCACTGTATTGTATACGCGATCGTGCACGTAAAGTGTGTAATTCCAGTGCGCACACAACTAACACACAGCGAGCGCACACCGTACAATACATACACATTTAGTCTGATAACTAGAAAAGTTTATTGTCCTGCCGTATGAACGACACAGAGACCTGCCAACCCCACAGTTCTCAAAGTACTACAGGAGATGACAAAAAAAACTAAAGATGGGTATGAAAATACTAAAATGCCCTTGTATTTCCAGGGACCATCTCACCTTAACAAAATATAAAAGAAACATTTGACAAAAGAAGCATGAAACGTTCTTCAGTCTCGGAAGTGGAGGAGTGGGCTAGCATAAAGGCCGTTGCAGCCTTAGTGTTCCTCAGAAAGTCTATCTCAGAGACCTGCTTGTGGCACTTTCCCAAGTTAGACTGGGCGCATCTTGCAACAAGCAACTGCTCCACAGTTTTTTGTGACATGGAGGCATGGAATTTGGTATGTGCCTTTTCGACTTTACTGAAGATACTTTCACACTCCGCGTTACTATGCGGGATTGTTAGGATCCCCAACATGAGTTCTGAAAGTTTAGCATACTTCAAGCAACCATCCACTCCTCGTAAAATGGAGACCGCTCGCCACTGCTCATCAATCCACTGCTCCTTAGTTATTTCAGGGGATAGCATTTCCAACTGAAGGCGCGTAAACTCCGCCTGAATGTCGTCTGCAGCAGAATCTATATCTTGCCCCCTTGAACAGGTACGAGCACTGGCAAATGGTTGACCAAGTATTTGATATCAAAAAACTTGGCATCTTCAATTGAACCAAACGTTGCTACTTCTACGCTCTTCAACAGCTCACACTTCAACGGAAACTTCAGGATAATGTACTGTGTTGCTGCAAGGAAGAATCTCCTTATATGTCTAAAAAACTCTTCCCTTGCTTCTTTTTTTAGGCTTTGCAAGGTCCGACTTTCAATCACAATATCTTTCTCATCTCTCTGACTGACCGAAGATTGATAATGTCCATCAGCAGATCAGTTTGTTCATTAACTGAAGGCTTGACAAAATGCAACATCTCTCTGAGCAAGTTGCTAAGCACTTCACAGAGCAAGTGCACCTGAGGGACCCCTGACTGCAGGAACACATTCACCTTTTCAAATTAGGGAATTACAGACAGCAAGAAGTCACAGTACACCCCATTTGCATCCAATGAATGAAAAAAAAAAAGCCTTTCTTCTCTGTTCAAGACTTTGCCTGGACAGTTTTGGATTTGCTTAGCAGCTGTATCTGACACAGGGACATTTGTGTCCAGTCTTGGTCTTTTGCACTGATGACTTCTCTGTTTCCTTTGCACGCTTCTGGTGGCCAGTGTGAATGTTACATTGTTTGCAAGGTAACTTGGAAACCTGCCCGGAGGGTTTTACTTCACTGTGGAAGAAACGAAGCAGTGGCTGCCGTTGGTCCACAAGCCTTTTCAGGCTCCCTCCGAGAGAAAGCCATCAGGTGCTGACATGCTTCAAAATTTTCTTGGCCTCTACATCGTGGAGACTGAAAATCTTTAAGCTTATCCTTCCTTTTTGAGCTTTTTTCAAGGTAGTAGAAGATGTCAACTAGCACCTCATTCACATTCATGGGAAGGCATGCTAATCCTTTCTGAGCGGCGAGATTGATCAAACTGCAACAACACCCCATATTGGCAATGTTCTCATGGCTCTCTTTCAGCACAGCTGCAACTCCGTTTTTCAATACAATCATGACTGGTGCATTATCACACGCCATGCTGATGTAGTTTTCAAGTGGTATCTTTTTGCTCGTTAGCGTGTTCACAACAAGTGCACCGATGTTTCGTCCCGTGGAGTCACCTTCAAGGGCAGGCATCGCGAGCAAGGCAGTGCGAACAGTACTATCACAGAATGTCAACACGATTGTATATAGTTTTGCATCATTGCCAGCACCATTGCTCCCATCAGTGGCGACCGAGAACAAAGCGTGCTGTAGGTGACTTATAACTTCATCAACAGCTTTGTTGGCCATCTCCTTCACAACTGCCGCAGTCTTCGTGAGGGCGCAGGCGTAGTTCTCAGCTTTCTTCGAGTCCGGAAACATTTTTCGAAAGAGGTCTCCTGTGCGATCAGCAGCCGTGAACGGCACATTGTGTTTAATTAGGAACGCAGTAAAAAGGCACTCTGCTCTAGCTGTAGTATCCAATCTGCTCTGCTGAAGTGCCCTCCAAGTTTCTAGTCGAAGTGCACAAGTTTCGCCAAGTCCTTGTGTTTCTTCGTACTCATATGTAGTACAATATCTCAGCAAACAACGTGCGAAATGTTCACGTCACAGCAGCCCAAATTACAAAATGCGTACCACTCACCTTTACGCAAGCTGTTAATAAATAGAAAGCCAGTCGAATAGCTGGGAATAAACACTTGAAAGTATTTCTTCTGAGACATCTCGTGAGCTTATGCTACAGCTCCGTAAAAAAAACATGTGCAACGCACTTAACACAGTGCAAAAAGTAACAAATCAAGTCGAGCACATTTCCACCATTCGCGAAGTTGGTGCAATTTGACTTAAACTCTAAATGGATAAAAGCCATTACAGTGTTGCCTGCATGGTCTAATGAAAAATGCAACATTTAGCAGATTCAGTTTAATTTTGGGGGCAGGGTTTAGCCTTTCAGTTTTTCGACAGGAAACATGAAAAATCGTAAAAATATAGTTGCTGTTACGATAATCGTAAAAATGTGCTGAAAATCGGGCACTTTAGAATAAAATCGTAAAACTTGGCAAGTATGGACACAGCTTCTAGAAATACGACACGATGCCTACAACACTAAAAACGAAAGTTTGCCTGTGTTCTCAGTTGACATAATGAGTAAGAACCAACGCAGCGTACAGCTGAGAGCTCCACATGCAAATACCATGCATTATTGATCAACAGTGAAGCGAACATACGTGAAAAGTGCCACCAGCTACATCCGGCGGTGCACGCGATTCGCACCGAGTATACACTACAGCTGGGCATCGTACAGCTTTCTTAAAAAGCATGCAAAAGAAGCAGTACTCGTCAATTGACTCGCTGTCGGCAGAGAACACCTACCAGCTTCCACTCACCCGGCACCGCGGCGGATGCTCGCCGGAAATCGCAAAGTGTTTATCTACTTTCCTCTAGGAGGTAGTGCAGGAGTTTGCGATGTGGCAGCTTCACGAATATGACGTCATGGT